AATTTCTTTAAAACATGTATTTGGATTTACATTTATTCAAAAATTAGGTCTCAAACAACGTCACTTTTGTAAAATATAAATTGTAATAGACACGTAACCAAGTCAAAAGTAGTAATAAATACTTCGCTTTATGATGATTTAGTTCAGTTCCAACTACTCTCAGAAGATATAAATTAGTTATCTTGGTTGCATTTCGACATATCCACTACAAAGGCTTAGTCTAGGGCATGGACTGTTAAAGAGTTCTCAATTTAGACGAGAAATCTGATCATTTTAGACATCCTCCAATAGCTATGAAGTCTAAGTCACGTAGTACCGATTGATCGGCATTCTCAGTAATTCTTCCCACTTTTTAAAATTTTCATTTTAGGTTTGGTTAACCATAGCATTACTAATCAATCGTCTACTTTATTTGAATTTGGGTCCACATTCCAAATCATTGTGTTCACAACTTGAATCCGTGAAAATCGTAATAGCGGTGTTTTTCCTATGTATTGCTTATATGGGATGCAAATTTTTCGAATATACTTATGTGGAATATCCAGATAAAAAGGTTGTACGTGTTTTGCTCACTCAACTTGGCAAAACGGAGATGTTTCGGTAAATCAAATTGAATATTCACTTCATTTGATAGCTCTAAAGAATTTTTTTCAAAACTAAAGTTTACAGCGCTTCTTACGTAGAGTAATTTTTTGATTAGATTATATTTTTAATATTATAAGTCTCTTGTCATATTGTGACGCGTCGTATCTTTTAAATGAATATATTTCATAACTCTGTGGAAATATTTTGTAGTTAATACACATGATTAACGCCCCCAAATCCTCTGGTACGACCAAGGGTTGGGAGAGTTAGCTCTCCCTCTCGAAATACTCTCACGTGGCCACGCATATACAGTCACCGCCTTCACGCGACGGGGGTGTTGTTTACGAAATTGAGATGAAAAGCGAATGTTCGGCGCTTTAAATGGGTTAGTGAATCTGGAAGATCCACCTTGTAGAGTGGGAAAACCCTGATTCCAAACTAATGGGTACCCGGGCAGTATCACAGCCCACACACAAATCAAGTGACTTGTGAGGCACATATGTATTCGGTGCCCCTTTTTACCGATATTTATGTGTTCAAATAAATGAGTAAACAACGCCTCATTTTTATTGTCAGTGGTAGTTGCTTATAATCTTTTTTCTTCACAGTTTGCACAACGAATGATTCAAGTAAATTGAAGTGTGTATACATCGCTAAAATGTATTTTGGACCATTACTAAGGGAATTCATTAAAACAGTTAATACTAATACCTTGTATTAAGTCGATTTTATTATCCATGAGGAGACCAAAAACATCGAAATTTAAAAATGGGCGTTTCAATATCATTTTATAATGTGTGACTTATGTTAGAACATTGTCTTCAAAATGCTTTTAAATTTTTTGTGTACTATCAAAAAACAGTATTCATAAATGAGAAAATGATGCATTTCAAGAAAATTTTGTTTTTCACACAAACTGAGGATGAATGCATAATCTATCACACTAAATAAGATTATTGCAACTTCAAAAAAGAAATATGTTGAAATGATGACTAATTGAAGATTCATAGCAAAAGTAAGACTAGATGTATTTAAAACAAGTCATATGTTGTATTTCGATGTTGACTTTCATAAAGTGATTCTTTATAGAGACCTGGGGTGTTGACTTCAAGAAAAACTGTTTAACAGACATTAGGATCTGTTATTATCGACGAGCAGTACATGTATAAAACTTGATCTCTTAGTTAGTTAAAGGCTGCTCTGTTGTTATTGTGACATCTAGTTAATTACGAGCAGAGTAGCAAAAGAAAGTAGAAAATTCATTTAGATTGATCATGATAAAACAATGTATCGAAGAATATACCCATGTTATTATTACACACTTAACGTCTTACTACAATAGTACATCAAGAAATGTGCGAAACAAAGTGAGACGACAATATTGTAGAGAATTAGAAGATAGAAATAGTAATTTCAATAGATTTGGAATTAAAGGGTTTATAAAAACGTAATTAAAATAGATTCCTTTTGGTCAAGAAACGCCACTACACTGTTTATAAACAGCACAACATAAAGCAATGGTGAGATTAACATCATCTTCTGTTATGAGGTATGTCATAACTTCTGAAGTTACCTGGTTAGATGATTTTTGTGAATTATTTAGGAAGCCAGGACTGTTTCTTATCCTAGTGTCTTGTCATAAACTAGCTTTCTGCTTTTTCCATCCATACTCGTCATTAAGTGGTGAGTGAAAATGATTGATTATTGGATTTCGTTAGCTGAGCACTTCAGTTCAGCCATTAAACAAACTGATACCACACTGATGTTCAGTAGGTCCGTTGTTTAGTTTTCGTAGGTTGAATATTTCCTAGCACTCAATTTTAGTAAGTGTATATCCTCGAAGAAAATCACGGTCTTTATATCTCCAAATTCACATCGTCAGTCTTTTTATACTGGATTTGTACCCCAACTTATAACGGATACTAGTTAAATGAGCTCATAATTAACAAGCCATACACAAATAGTATAAACAATTAAATTTCTGTTTAGTGATCAAATCTTTTTTAATGTTTTAAAAAGGGATATAATGGATAATTGGTTAAAAGTTCCGCTTGAAATGTTTTTACCGTATTTGGCTTGTGGATTGTTAATAACAACTATCGTTTTAAAAATGGTAAATTTGCATACATCAAAGTGGAAGGCCGTAGCTAGCTTATGCAATGAAACTGCTTGTGCGTGTGTCTGTCGAACAGGTGTCTGTGGTAAAGAATGTCGTGAAGGTGTAAAATCGGAGGATCTATCTAAATCCTGGTCATCTGATTTTAATAATCAAGAAAAATCTGGAAAAGTAACAAATACAAAACAGTCTACTCCTGACAAGAATGATACCTTTCAAAAATCATTTACCAGTACCAACCGTAATAACGGTAATTTCACAAACTTGGATCCAATTGAACAGGAGTTATCCTATCTTTTCTTCCAATTGCCTCAATTAGACGAGACACGTGAAAATGCTAATGTTATAACAGCAGTTTGTATTGGACTAATTTTGTTGATTTGTAAAATCCCAAAATTTTTACTACACGTAATTTCAACTGAGAATTACATCACTTATGATCCAGAGGTATTTAGAATGATAAATCACTTATTGGATACAATGTTTGCAGCTTGTAAACCAATGATCTGTATACTAGTTGGAGCACATTACAGACAAGCCTTGACAACACCTCCAACATGTTGTCTACCTAACGATACTGATATTAACACCAATACAACTACTGTTACTAACATTAGAGGTGATGCATTAATAATTGAAGACAATAATCATGAAGCAATAGTGAATAAGGAGGCAGTAAACTACCAGTCAGTTATTACACACCAGCCAGAATGAGATCAGTTAATACTAAAAATGTCACATCCAGGTAATTAAAACTATTATAATCATGAATTTCACTGATTATACGAGCAAAAAAACAACCAAAGGATAGTTGTTAGTTTATTTCTTTTGATTATACACTATTCATTTAATTTAGCATTGATTCATGCGACATGAAGTAGATAACTTACCTGAAGTCATTTAGTCATATTTCGTTTTGTTGCCATACTAGTCATATAATCAACACAGATTTGTTGTTTTCTTCTTTATTTGATTTATCACTTTTATTCTGATCCTCTAGTCCATTTTGTTTTGTGATTTTAAGAGGACATGTACGTTTTCACTGTCCTGTGTTTATATAATTTTCTTGCTAATTTCAATTACTATGGATTGATATTTGATAACTATGATTTCCTATTAGCAGACAACCAATACAAAAATGGATCTTTTTCTATTTAGATTAAATCACGTTTCTGCGTTCAAGAAAGTAAAACACTACTTCCCTCCTTAAATAATTTAGCTATTTTGGAATAACCTATGACAGGCCAAGCACTCCCCTCTCAACACCTCGTCTACCGAAATTCTAGAACATAGACAATACTAATGACGTAACTGTCTAGTTAATGTAATATAGTCGGTTTATATGTAATCCCTTAAAAATAAAACCTAATGATTTACAGCGACGCTCATGAAGGATTTTTTCACTAGCATATTTGTTACGTCAATTCATGTTCGGAAAAATTAGCATTTTGCTAACTATTCTGAAACTTTATTAAACTTATCATAGCCAGCATAGCACAATGGTGAAAAATTTAATTACCAGGAGTTTTAATCTCATTACAGCGAAAGGACACCAACTGACTGAATTGAATGTAATATTCTCTACACTTAGAGCGAACAAATCCCCTAGTTTTTAAAGAATATTGTTGGAAATAGAAGAAAAACCAAATTAGAGTGTATTCCAAAAGAATGGAAGAACACTATGGTCATCCCACACAGTAAAGAAACACCGGAAGCAATTAAGAGGATTCTAAACAAACATAATATGAGAGTTTATATTTGGGTCAATAATAAGATCAGCGCTAATGAAAGTTAAGGATAAGTTTCCCAATGACGAACAACAGGATGTTGTCTATGAAATCAGTTGTCATAATTGTAATGCATTTCGCGTGGGAGAAACATCTAGACAGTTGAATATAAGGTTGAAGGAACACAAACAGTATTTGAAACATATCCCCAAATCCTCGCTTGATCTAAAGAATAGGTCGGCGATAGCGTTACATACGTTAGAAACAAATCCGACTTCAAAGGGACCAAAATGCTTCAGGAAGGGTTGAGCTCGATAAAAATTATGACTAGTCCTTTTCATACCGCTATAATGTTGCTTAGATTGACGCATCAAATAAAATATATAACATCCTGACATGGATCTACATGTTTACTATTTCGGCTAATATATATGATCATTTCTTCATTAGTTCGTTTCTTTACCATGTGAGCCTTATTTGAGTCATGAATATACCAACTAGTACATCGGGAGGCATAGTATTTCTAGTCTAAAGCTCGAATCGACAAACATAAATGAAAGAAGACTTTTGAACAGCAAATAATTTTATTTGTGATCTGTACACTATAACAATGAATTTAAAGCCTGCTAATATACCATCATGAGTAAAGTGCATATAAACATGTGAATGTTTAGTAAAACAGTGGTAGTAGAATGCTGTCAAAAAAGTACTGTACGCATAATTAAAGTTCAAACAATTTTTTTACACATTTAAGCAACACTATAACAACCGAAATTACTTTGATATATACGACTTTCAGATTCCAATTCATTCAATAAATGTTTTAGTGCATTTAAGGTTATGCGTGTTAATTGCAAATTATCAGGAAACGACCGTTGTCGAATACTGTGTAGTATATTATGCAGTGATATTTCTTTATTTATGCCTAAAAATGAAATAAAAAGAAGTAGAAGTTCGATATAACACTTAAAAAATTGTGGAATAATGGCTACTTGGTGAATACTCTCTTGCGTTTCCCGAAAAATTTTCATCTAATAGTCTAGTTAGATATATATGCATATCAAATAACCTACTGTGGAAGAAAACAATCCAGCTTCCAGCTAAACAGGAAATTAGGAAAGATGCTGGAGGTGGGTAGGGCATACATTTCGGAAATCAACAGACAATCCAGAAGGGTGGAGGAAAACCAAGGAACACGCTGTGTCGAGAAGTGGAAGCAGACATCAAAAAGATGAATAGCAACTGGGAAGGATTGTCCAGGACAGAGTTCGATGGGGAATGTTAGTAGGTGGCCTGTGCGCATACACGAGGGGCAACAGGCGTAATTAAGTAAGTAAGTATATCAAATACGTCGATTACCCTTCCTAGATTGTGAATTTTGTTACAAGCAACCTCATATCAGAATGAAATCCAAACCAAACCCTGTATACTGTTATCTATAGGGTTTAATCTTCAACCATATGTATATTTTATCGAGAAACTGACGTCTAGATTTTTTGTTTAACTGTATAAAGCGAAATAGGATATCAATAATCTTTTTTACTTAACGGCTGAAGAATATATTTTTGGTTGATGAATTTTGTGATTATACATTTTTTTATGACTTAGTTGCTTAGAGCCCTTATGCAAACTGAAGTGCTGAAAGCAATAAAGGTACAGGTAGGAAACTATTTTTTATCACAATAATAGACGAAAAATGATAGATATCAAACTTAGTTATGTACATTGATTAAATGTAAAGAAGACTGTTAATTCACTGAATGCCTTAAACTTTAATATTAAAACCACTGTTTGAGGTTCCCATGAATCGCAAAAAAACCCTTTCAAGCATGGTTGAAGCAAGTAATAGAACAGTTATATCGACCTTGTGGAAAGCTATCTCAGAATGAAACAATGATGTAATTCACAAACAGTATCTGTAGCAATAAAAAATCGACTATCGTAATGAGCAGTACAAGCTATTCTGGAATTTATTATACAACTAAAAACCTTAATCAGGATAAAAATATTTAAAAGTGATTGTCATACATGCTAATAATAATCACCATTTTATTACGCAGTTCCGATTACATTCAATGATCTATTGACTGATGATTAACAACATAAAAATTACAATGCATGCGGAAATTACCTTGAGAAAAAATTATTCCATAAACAGCATCGAGTAATTTCTTGTTCTCTTGAACAAACTAAAATTCAGTGAATTTGTAAATGATAAAAATTTACTTATTACAAACAAACTAGCCGTTTATGAACATTAACACCAAAACCCTACGCTAGTCAATTACTGAGTACAAAATAGTTATTTCTTTATCCAATGCCATAAATCTAGAGTAAGGAATTCTCAGGAAAAATATGGAATATTCCAATAAATTTCAGTTTATAATCTATTTAACTTATTGATAATCAAGATATACTTTTATATTACATTGAGCTAACTCCGATTTGATCGTATCATGATGTTAACGAAATATACATCCCGGCTACCGTCGTATTATAATTATCGACTTAATTCGCGTTAGAGAATAACGGAATAGGTGAGTAATTGATATGGTCGTAATGTAACTCAAGGAGAATAGGTAGATTGGTCTACAAGGAAGCTAGAACAAGCCATATGGGTTTGGCATAGTACTAGGCACTATAACACCTTGAAAATTTTCAACAGTGAATGACCGCTATTCATTTTCAATAAAGTTTTGTGGACAATTTTTACTGTTCGAATGTCTTTCTGAGAACATTGGTACTCTAGTTAAGTAGAGTGTGGACTTGTGCGTGGTAATAGTTGAGTTGCATTTTACTATTTTATATGGAAATTCCTAGACTGTACGAACTTGGAATTGTTTTCGTGGCCGAAATGATACCAAGGGTGAACATCAATAACATTAACTCAACCATTTATATGTAAAATGATAATACTAATGATCATTTTTCGGAAAACATGTCAGTCGACGTACAAGTAATCATAGAGATGAATCAAAGTGGATCCATGCTACGTTCATTTTTCTTAACACAAACCCACGAAAATACAAAGATTAATTAGGTAGATAAATTGTTAGCACTACAAAACAACTATTGCTAAGCGAGTCACTCTGTTTTTGTTACTGAAGTTTGATGGTTCCGACAGACCGGTCACCGTATCATGTTCAACGCTAAGCTGATAATTGTAGGTAACTCAATTGCCCTCTTTGTCACATATTTGTGACAATCGGCTTTCAAGTAATGAGTCATACACTAAAGTACTACTTTCAAATATCATTTCTAATAATGCAGAAAAACAATATGAACGACTTATTGTCTACCAAAATCTCAGTTTTAACTAATTAAAACTTTACAAAAATACTCGTAACTTACATAATAAGTCCGCATACCTCCAATAGATTGAGTAGCTGGAAAAATCCAACCCTCAATTAATAATCGTTCAATCAAACTTGCAACTATAAGTTGTAGCTTTTTAGGATTGAGTACTTTATTCTCAGCTGCACTACTCTGCACTACACCTTCATCAACTTCAATGAAACTTTGTCGAAGGTAATCCGTTTCAGATTCATCATATGCCTTAGATTATCAATGAGATAAAAATAGTGCAAAAATGCAATTTAACGATAAGAAAAAGAACGATGGAAAGGTAATTAATCAATTTATAAACAAATATAGACATCAGGGGAAAAAGTTTTATGAACCTACCATTGAGGGGATTAGTAATACAGACCGTAGAATATCTCAGAACATGCATTAAAGCCGTATGAAACTTGAAATCTATCTTGACTTCAACGAATAACTAATTATATTTTGTTTGAATTTACAACAGTAACAACACATGAAAGTGTAAACAAATAACAATTCGATAGTATAAAATTTTTAGGTGAAGAGTTTGCTAATAAAACATATATTGTTAGCAAACAACAATTTAATGAGGAGCGGAAATGTGATCATATGGTTGTATCAATCAGTCCGAGTTTAATTGGATCTACATCTAATAATAATGTCAAGAGATGTGTCAGCTATCATATTAGAGATATACCAACAGAATGTCACGAAAATACTAGGTAGAGATCAAGAAATATTCCATTATATTGGATTAGAAAATCATTTCGATAAATGAAACCTGTGAGCAGGAGTGTGGATGCTTTACATGAGTTGTGGGTGATAGTTTCATTATGTACGAACATTTCATGGACACCATGTATTTGTATGAAGTAAGCTATTACATCAGTTCTCAGTTACACAGTTTGATGAGCTTTCGAACTTTTCATTAGTATAATATGCACTAAGTTGTGGTGTCCGTTATGTAATGTATCTGGGATTTTCTTGATAATGTCTTTAAAGGAACAGTTTGATAATATTGCAATAAACGAATACGTATGAGAGGGAGATGCCTCCAAATAAGCAATTCAGACATGTTCATGAAAACAAAATGTTGCAAGCAACACATAAATGGCAACAAACTGTGACTAAATTGATAAGTCTTCTAATTGAACGCTAGATTCGGTTGCTAAGCTCGGTGAGATTATAATTTATGGACAACCTTGAGCGACACTGAAGTGACCATGAGAGTGGACACCTACTGATCAGGACTAAAAGAGGGTTATAAAGCAGTTAGAATTCTCATTCACAGTTGATGGTTAGGGTTAAAATTAGATTTAGGGTTTTCATCACAAAGTGACATAAGCTATAGTGCCAAAACTCTGTTTAGCCAAATGTATGGATGAATTTCGCGCCGAAATTCGTTACTCGTTATCTTATATCTGATTGTTTCGTTAATAAATTATAGTTCCGCCGAAACACTTTACTCCAAGGTTCGTTTATGTACAGAAAACCTGGGGTATTCATAGCGTTTAAGATGACCTTGGGTTTCCGGAAAATTCTGGAACGCTAATAGACATAGTAGCAGTAAGGGTGATCATCCAATCAGGAACGCAACATGTGAATTTCCAGACGTTTCCGGTAAAATTTTTATTGAATACTGATGGGATAAGAGGTTTTCAGAGCCTTTTTTGGCTTTTCTCGAGGAAATTTCTGCATCACTCCAACACAAATACATATTTATATTGAAACCTATATTCTTTTTTGTTATTCAGTAGGTTTGTTGCTTGACCACCTCCTAAGAGTTTAATGATGTTGAAATGCTGTTCAAAAACTTTTTTAAGGATTTCTAGTTTACTTTTCTCAATTATGGCAAGTATCATAAACAAGAATATTCTACCAATCCATGAACTTCCTTATCAATAGTCTGAGCTATTTATGGGATTAAAATTGACTGACTTGTTTACTTTAGGCGTTTAATATCACTTAATAAAATGGTTCAAGTATATATCATAATGATGTAGATCCATTTATTCTCCACGTTTGTGTTAATTAACAATATTTCATTATCTCTTACATCTATTTATTGCACCCAAACGGCATGGTACGTCCGAGGGTTGGGAGAGTTAGCTCTCTCTCTCGAAATACTCTCACATGGCCACGAGTATACCATCACTGCCATAGAAGTGAATGTTCGGCGCTTAAACTGGGTTGGTGGATATGGAGGATCCACCTTGGAGAATGAGAAAACCCTGATTCCAAACCAATGGTGCACATGGGCTGCAGTATCCTGAAGGAACAAATGGTGTATGAACCAATTATTGGTCACCGGCTACCATGGGACTAAACCTCCTAACGTTGCTTCACTGCCTTGTGGATCAGACCTCTAGATTAGAGGCTCGATGAGTGACTCCCTAAAAAGCCATCTGCCTCGACTTGGGCGCCCGCCCGGATAGTGATTTAATAGTAACTACTTTATGTAGCGCATATATATTTTGGTGCCCCTCTGTGCTAATGTTTAAAATGAATAAATATATCTTCAGATAGTCCAGAGCTCATAACCCAAACACTTGAAGATCTATAAGATCAAGTTCATTAGCTTGACAGTTACCATTTAGATAAATTTGCGTTCATAAAAATGGTACCAAAACATCAACAACACAAAGGAAAATACACACACATAGAATCCCAAGTGACAGTATCACAGCCCATACACAAATCAAGTGACTTATGTGGCGCATGTGTATTTGGTGCCCCTTTGTATCAATATTTGTGTTCAAATAAATGAACAAACATCTTATTATATCCTTTCCATTTACTTTATTATTTGGCTAATCTAAATAATTTCAGGCATCTAATCTTTTACACGTATTAGGCTGCTTAAAACTGCACTGTTTTTTTATAAGAACTACATGGTTGGACACTACATTTTTCTTCTACTTTCTTATTGACTCAGATATTACTGAGTAATTCTGTAACTTGTTTATGTATAGAAATGACAGAATAATCCACTTCTAAGAATACTTGCTAACTGGCAATATCTTAGTTCCTAATCAAACTAAACTAATCACATGCAGAGACACTTCGTTATGACTTCATTAATTTACACTGTTCGTTTATAATAAAAACACAGATTCGTTATTCTAGGGTGTAACAGAGATTGTTGAATTTAAGATTTCATATCACAGGCTGACTTCAATTAGGCAACCATTAAAACCAGAAAATACTAAACAGTCGTTTCGTCCTACGTAGTATGAGACGAATATATCTAATGGAAAGGAATGATGGTCAAGCAATATCGTGAATTGATTGAAGTTAGAAATAAAAAGCAATGAATGCGAACTCGGCGTCTGAAAATTATGTCCTTGTCCAAAGACCTAGAGGTCCTGGATACTTTTAATAGTTGCCTATCCCAAATCAGTCTGAAATGAGAAGCTACAAAAAGAATTGTAATTAAAGTAACTTACCATAGTCAAAGATCTCCAGTTTGCTGTTACAGATTCAACTATTTTCGGGTGTAAACATAAGTCTAATTTGGTAAACAATTGGACATTATCCTGTACTAGGATTCTACAACATTCTGTTACAAGTGAATTCGCTAAATTAACCTATAAAACAGAAAACAAATACAGGAAATGCCGTCACTGGGTTTGACTTATTTACATCGAATATTAAACAAACGAAATACTATTTTGAGTCTTTGAACAAAATTGGCTTATAGTTACATTTCTTCTAATATTCTCGTTCGATATAAACAAGTTATATTTCACTTCTTTAAGATCTTAACTCAAGCTAATTACAATAGCATTCAGCGTTTTTCAGACAAGGGAATAGAAATACTAACAGCAATAGAATAATTGAACATACTGAATAATTTGTTTCCTTAGTTTAATTACATCTACTTAGATGTACTCTAACGTGTAAACATGAAAACTATAGGTCAGTTAACTACGGAGTTTAGAGTTGTAGTTTTACGACAAAAAAATTCTACACTTGTAATATCCAAATGAGCAAAAATTTATATTCAGGATGCATCACGACTATATGTGAGTTGCTTTTCCAGAGTAAATAAATAAGTGAATTAAATCAACATAAATTTAAATAGTTACAAAAGAATAAAGCAAAGAATATTCAGTGCAATCGAAACAGGTTTGATCAATCCAATGTCATGTCATTCCAATCAAGGTGGCTTTTGTGAAGCAAGTTTGTGTATTTATGTGTATGTTAGTGGGTGTGAAATTAATTTTCTACTCATTGGGGTATTACAAATATACCACTGATTTGATTATTAACAATCTAATGTAGCGTTTGTTTGAAATTTTAAGCTAAGCCTTGTTAATGATACTGTAGAGTTTCAGTTAACACAACTTAAATTAACCTAATTATCTATACAACTAAAAGTGAAGATTAACTAGATACTTTGAATATTATCACAAACTGAATAATCAGACATCTTCCCATTTCATACATCCTGATCTCTTAATCAATTTGAACAAAACAAGAACACGATTTACAAAATAACATGAATTCATCATATTTCAAGACTTGTCAGCAGCTGCAAACGGCTTGAATTTACATTATTATTAGTACGAACAGCACATACCATAATCAATAAAGTTTAGTTTGAAACAACTTAGGAAACAGAAAGAAACAACATATTTAACGTAATAATGATTATTTAGTAATTGTATGTTAAAGATGAAGTCAGATAAAGAAGGGCTTAAATTTGTAAATGAATCCACGACCTACAATCTTAAAGTAATAGGTCTGCATATGAGCTGAAATCTCATTATGATCTACAAAGGCTATCTTGAATTCTATTGTAAATCAAACGTTTTTAAACCATGTTTATTAATTGGAAATAAGAACCAACAAGTATTTTGTTTGCTAACTCAAGTTATTCCAGATAAACTTAATACTAAGAACTCTAAATAGTTGAAATTTTAATAAAATGAGTGACGAATGATAGGAACAAAACCGACCACATGAGATTTTTTTATATTTTCTGCGACAACACCAGGATCATATGGATTTGAGTAAATTTCTTCCTGTAAACGGTACCTGTGAATTATGTGATGTAACAATTCACTTTCCTCCTTAATTGAACCTGTGAATCAAAGGAACACAAATGAGAGATTAGAAAGAAATTGTGATCCCTGTGATTGATAAAAAGGTTATTGTGGAAAAAAACTCGAAAATGTATACAAAAGCGGGACCCTAACCTTATCAACCTACTGAGTCTTTATTTGTGAATTGATCGACTGCATAAATTGCCACATGATTGAAATTATTAAATCATTTGGTATTACTAGTCTTAAAACATCCAATGTCAAAACCCCAGAGTAGGAACTTTTAGATCTTAAACAAGAAACTGTCTCAACACTTCTAAACATGTACCGTTTCTGAATTTTGACTCAGTTGCCCAGAGTTTCAAGATCATTTTATACTTCTTATTCAGGGGGTTCGTTTTTCTTATAGAACTGAATTCTACCTAGTCTTTTTTATTAATACTGCAACTACGATTACAGTTTTTTAAATTACTTTATGAACATTACTTATATTTCCCTTCAGACTGTCATGAAATGGTTGGGCTCATAGGAAGTATTGGAAGATAGTTTTTTAACTGACCTTGCGCTCAATCCATGTAAATGTCGAACCATTAACTTCAACCTTGATAACAAAATCAACCAAATTCACATGTAAAAAAGGTACGGCCCAAAGTCGAATATATGATCTTCTTATTTGAAAGCGAGTTATTCAAAAGAATATTATGCTATGATGTTCTCCTTGTTAGTTTAAACGATCAGTTATGATTCTTATGAAGGAATTTACAGAAATGACCGATAATAATGAACTTACGACAGAAATAAGTATTAAGCTTTAGCTTTCCACGGAAGCATTTCAAACGACCTCTAAGCTGTAATATTTGGCCAACATGTAAGTTGGACGACTGTTCAGCTGAAGATGAAATAGGTTGTGACTTGCATGATAACTTGATAAGTTGCTCACACAAATAATGCTGTTCAAAATCAAATGAATTTTTTGTTGTTGATAATACATTAAAAAGGTTTGAACAGCCACGACGCCATATTGTGCAGGTTATACAACCAGTCCCATCGTCCACTAAATATAATAAATAATAAATACTATTAGAGACTAATAGAATACTATTTACAGTAAACACAACTTAGTAAGTACATACGTATTAGATTCAAGCCTAATTGGATATCAGTTAATTAATAACCAACTGCTTAGATCGGAGTTGATCAAAATCATAAGCTTATAGCTAAGAGAAATTTTTAACTAGAATTGGAATATTCATTCAGGAAAACTTACCCGGTATCTCATGTTAATCTGAAGTTAACTTTAGTTCAAGGGGATGAGGTGACTAAATTTATACATTTTTGTCATCTTTGAATTACATTTTATCTTAGATGCAATACTATTTGACTACTTAAGAATGAGAATCCAAATAAACCCGATCGATCGATTAAGATTTTAAGTAAAACGATTTAAAACTAGTTTTCAAGATATTCAACCTTGTATTATTTTACGCCCATTATTTGTTTTCTGTTCACTTTCATTAGTTTCTTAGTACCTTGAGTGTTTTATCGTTTTCATTTCTTCATTTTTTCCTCCAACTGATTTCCTGATATGATTTTATGGAATAAATTGAAGCAACGCGAATTTGTGATAAGTTAAACACTGCTTATGACCAGCTGAAAAACCATAACATAGTCTAAACTGAAATAATCAAGTGATTAATTAGGTATAGATTAAAATCCTATAATAGGATTTTTCGTTTTCTGCATAGACAGTATTGCGAAATGCAGAAAGCAACTAAAAATAAAATATCTCACTCACCGGGTACTTGAGTATGAGTTACAATCTACGGGTGACGGCTAAAGATACTACCCGGCTAACCAAACCGAAGCAGGCGAGAGAGATGGTTGAACCTCAGACTTGGAGGATGAAAGTTGAACGCCTCAATCGATAAGTTACCGTCCACTTACAAAACTTTACGCAATTAATATCTTTTAAGTATTAATAACAAACTTAGTAATTAAAAATGTGAATTTGCAATGATTTGTAGCTTACAATCAACAATAAAAAATCTCTCGCGTTCGTAAACAGTGCGCACTATCCCCACAACATCAACAAACAATAGCCATCTATGACCGAGACGGAAAGGACCTAACAAATGAATACAGAAAATAACAACAATAACGCATTGTGAGTTATACCGAAACAAGATGAATAAATTGAAAGATAAATGAAACCTCTTTAAAATGGATCACACAACTAAGTGTACAATAGCCAGAAGGGAGAAATGTACGTCGATGGTTTAAGAACTCGACACGTAAATTGGAAATCTAATCCGACTACTAAGAATTATACAGCTACATAATATTCAGTCAGTTATCATCAGCATAGACCCTGGCACATATTTGTGTTGGCCATAGTTGACATACCACACAAGCATGATGAGATAAAAATAGCCAGATGGAATGATGCAGAGATCGGAATTATGTATCAGTAATAAAAGTGAGAAAGACTGAACATTAAGAATATGGTCCATAAAGACAGAGAGGACAGGTATGCTGGAATTCACAATCCAGAGTAGAGCAAAGAGTGAGTTTATCTGCACCACCTAATGTCTTTATTGACCACAGTCATAATGCAGACCCCGACAAATTAATCTGCATCTAACATGGATCAAGCCAAGTCAGTAATTTTATGAATCGATGCATGTTTAAGCATAGCAGCACCTATTTTATTTTTAAATACATATAAATACTACTAGAACAGGAACCAAAATAAATAAGGGCCATACGTCTAAAGAAATAAAATTGTGGAGATAGAGGAATTAGTAGGAGATATGCATAAATAAATGAAAACAGGTGAGTACGAGTAGCATTTAATAGGATAAGGTATTCGTTTAGGAAAAATACAATTAAACAAGTTCCTCTTACATTTATGAAATAAGTGGGAAAAACTACTGTACGAACGCTACTGACTTCTATTTTGAGCCATGTCTGATAACAACTCAAGACAGTGTCGCGCCGTTTCTAGGACCCCAACCAGGGGTCTTGAGAGACTAACAGAAGCCAATCATGTACAGCTTCCTTTCATACTGCGATACTATGTGGTGCACTGACCAACGCTCCACTTATTTCAGCAGGTCCCAGCTTCGAAAAGTAATGCACGACGTGAAATTCGCTGGGATGGCATTCGTAAGACATGTTCAAACCACCGAAGTCAGTGTTTTAAGACGGTGACATGAACTGAATTATAATCGCTGTGCTTGAATACATCTTGCTAAACCTCTGCATTACTAGCATGGTGTGGCCACTGGATATCGGAAATTCTTTAGACAACAGTGATCCAACACAGAGAGTCGTTTCCATCCTCAACTCGAAGAGGTCAGGTTTCACAAGCATAGAGCAAAGCTGCTCTCACCGACGCGTTGTAGACCCGACCTTTTACAGCCAGAATAACATCCTGAAGGCGCCAGTGATGGCCCAGATTTGCACAAACCAATCTGGTTCCCAGTATACGTTCATTGATCTTATCACTCACCCCACCACCAGGATTTGCACAGCTACCCAGATACATGAATTTCTCGACTAATTCTATCTGCTCAATATGGCAGAGTGATCGCAGGTACAGACTTCTTCCAGTCTCATAAAAGCACTTTGAACTCAGGTGAGAAGCACATTCTATTACCGACGGATATTAATTAAGCGTGGACTGCATGGCTCGAGTATCGCCCCACAAAAAGAAAACATTATTCGCATACACAACGTCGAAAAGTCTTCCTCCTAGCAACCGATCTAGACCCTCATTACCTACATCAACTACGTCAAAGTTAAAGATTAGTCAAACCCACCTAATTCTATTGCTTGAATGAAACTGAGGTGGTTGTATGCACTTACCCTGACCCATATTTGAACACGGAGCGTTCAAGCTGTTATTAAACTTCTCAGGCACACTCTTCCTCAACAAAATCTAATTTCTGTGCGACGGATCAAAGGTGGTCTTGATACCAATAAAAAGAACGATTGTAAGCTTGCGATATGTATGGAGGTGTTCTAGAATTTGGTGGAAAGTGAAGATATAATTAATGCATCCATGTCCTAGACGAAAAATAGCCTACTTCTTGTGAGTCAGTCTCCCATTCATTCTGGATAATCTGCTTAGCATGACAAAAGCCAATAGCTTGGAAACAACTGAAAGTAGATTTACTCCCTGATAATTGGTGTAAAAATGTCTTAGGCCCTTTTGAAAGATGGAAACGACCATCACTTTATTTCATGGTGTCGGGATACTTTATATTTTTTAGATATTTCCGAACAATTCAGTCAAAAGTACATCGCTATCCCTTAAAACAGCTGGAGATAAGTCATCTGGGTTCGTGGCGCTTTAGAAGTCGGAATTTTTGAAGATCTAGCTTTTTTCCAAGCTACCTCTACATTGGCACACATCCCCATGACCCATAAATCCCATGACATTATCATGATAGCACAGATGCATCCATCTTTAATATTACTTATATTTTTATTCAGAAATCTACATATTTCACACATTTTTCAGTATATTTTTCATTTTTACTAAAACTGCGCACTTTGGCGAGTTCATACGTGTTAAGGAAACCGCACTTCCGAAAAATAAAATCAGTAACAACGGGAAGATGTTTAAAAGAACAATAAAAAGGCAGTGTATGAAGAGTTATAAGATGCTCAAGATGCAATGGAAGATAGAGTGAATGCGACTGTACTATTGTGATTTGTTTTGAACCAAGTCACCGTGGATGTCCATAATTTTTATTATTTAGTGGACCAGATGCGAGAAACGTGTATCTCTTGATACAACACATAATCCACCAGTGACTTCGTCAAGTGGAGCTTCTACCGCAGTATAGTTACGTCTATGATTATTTATCAGCATAATCAACCGCCAAGATCAGATTTCCGACTTTTAGTACGAAATTATTACTACACCAAAAACTATCAGCTTATGTCAGTCTACCTCTTTAGTTACATACCTTCTATGAGTGATACTAATAATAATTATATCATACAGTGTTCAACTTAGAAAAGGGTAAGAAGTATGTTTGATGCGTTTTTCTGGACTATACTTCAGCTTTTGATTCTATACCAAGACAACGTTTACTTAACAAGTTAATCAGCGTCAACACTGGCAGCTGTAAAACCAACTGGCTATGTTACTACCTTTCTGGAAGGGAACAGTACACTGTATTTGGAGGAAAGTGTTCAGAGTCTCTACTGTCTCATGAAGGTGTACCACAAGGAGCTGTTCTTTCACCTCTTCTTTTCTCTTTTTTCTGCATGATCTGCCTTCTTCCACAGAAAACACTTATGAGAAATATGCGGATGATCTCACTGTATGTATGCCTATCTCTTCCTCTTTACATCCCACAGAAATGTCAGTCAGTCAGTCAGCTACAACGTAGGACCAGGCACATGTATGCATCGGCCCAGGTTGCCATACCTCATTAGCACAGCAAGATGAACACTGGATTCATAGGAGTGGTTAGGTCAAAGGTGGTAATATATAGGAGAAAGATTGCAATAAGGATATAGTATAGGAAGAAAGAATTAGTTCGTAGAAAGAAAGATGTGAAGTGATCTTAATCTCTTAGTTTAAGAGAAGACAGAGAGTGTATACACCGACGCCATTGTGATCGATTCTGAGCCATGTCACCAAGGGTCTCCAACCATTGGTTACGAAAGTCACGCGGACCCCAACCAAGTAGTCTGCATCTACCAACATGGCTCAGACTAGAAGTTAGTGACTTCAGGCACTGATGCCACGTTTTGGTTTGGCCGCCCCTAACTTTCTTCCAACCATCCCCTACACCGGTTAGCATTGCACGTCGTGGTAATCGGTGTTCAGGCATACGTAATACGTGGCCCAACCATCTCAGTCGATGAAGATTCATAACCTCATCAACTGATTTACCATCATTCCCTAATACCCTGCGTCTAACCTCACTATTACTTACCCGGTGATCCCAGCAGATGCCAGCAATATTTCTAAGGCATCTGTGGTCAAATACTAGTAGCTTACGGGTGTCTTCTACTCTTAAGGGCCATGTTTCGCTGCCGTAAATTAAAACAGAACGGACAGCCGCGCAGTATACTCGTCCTTTTATTGATAGACGGATATCTCGCCTCCGCCAAAGGTGACGTAAGTTGGCAAAAGCCAAACGAGCTTTACGAATCCGTGCTGAGATTTCGTCAGACACCAACCCATTAGGGCTGATCAGACTTCCAAGATAAGTGAAGTTGTCAACACGTTCGACTACTTCACTCCCTATCCTTAGTTCAGGTGTTGACGCAGACCAGTCCTGAAGCAACAACTTGCATTTAGAGGGAGAGAAGCGCATCCCAAACATTCTGGCATTGTTGCTTAGTGCTACCAGAAGACTCTGCATTTTGTCAGCGTCTTCACCAAACAGGACTATGTCATCTGCATATTCTAAGTCGATAAGTGGACCTCCTGGAAGGAGATCAATACCCGAGAATTCAGTCGACGAGAGTGTTATTTCCATCAATAGGTCTATGATGAAGTTAAACAAAAATGGAGAAAGTGGGCAGCCTTGACGGACACCACTTGAGGTTGTAAAGGTAGATGACAGTTCGCCATAAGCCCTGACTCGACTAGTAGTGTTCGAGTAAAGAGCCTTCACAAGGTTTATGTACTTCTGAGGTACGCCTTTCAATGACAGACACTGCCACAGAGTCTCGCGGTCTACAGAGTCAAATGCTGCTTTTAAGTCAAGAAAGACCACCATCGTCGGACGCCGATAGGTATGCCTGTGTTCTAGAACCTGACGAATGGTGAATATGTGGTCGATGCAGCCACGACCAGGTCTAAAGCCAGCTTGGTTCTCTCGTGTTTGTAGTTCACGAGTCTTAGTTAGGCGTTTGATAATTATCGAGGCCAGTATTTTAGATACTATGTTTGTTAAACTAATCCCTCTGTGGTTGTCACAGGATGATTTTGACCCTTTCTTATATATTGGGACGATAAGTGATTGCGACCAGTCAGATGGGATAACGTCTAACTCCCAGATTTTAGCCAAAATATTAGTCAACCTAGTCGCTAAAATTGGACCACCATCCTTAAAGACTTCTGGAGCCAGTCCATCTGGACCAGCTGCCCTTCCTCGTTTCAGATTAACTATAGCCTTCTCAACTTCAGCAAGAGTTGGGGGACCTACTTCAATGTTCCATTCACTTTGTCTGGGAATGGAGGGTAGTTGTAGAGTAGCTGAAGGCCAGCTGAACTGTTCTCTAAAATGTTCCGCCCATCGTTCTAAACGTCTGGACTGGGAGCAGATGAGAGTATCATCTTTTTCCGAAATAATCTCACTTACACTTGACTTATTAGTTCCAGTTTCTTTTATTAGTCTGTAAAGCTGTCTTGTGTTCCCTATAGTCGCCGCCTTTTCCATCTCTTTTGCTTTCGTTACCCACCACTGCTCACGGTCGTTCCTTAGACTTTTTCTTAACCTAGATCTGATTTGTTTACGCTCTTCATCATGTTCAGAACCTGATGGGACGAGTTTGCGAGAATCCATCAGTGTGACAGACCTTGAAGAAATCCACTGGTTCCTTGTAACTCTGTGGTTTAAGTCACTAACAGATGTCACTGCTGTTTCCACAGCTGCTTGTATGTCCTTCCAAGCAACATCTGGGTCAGCCTCGTCTTCACAACTAACTAAGTGTGACCTCAGTTGTTCCTGGAACCTACTTTTGGTTTTCTCGTTACTCAACTCAGTTCTAATGGGTCTTTTTAATGTGGCTTTTTTGCGTCCATTGAGGCGCAAGCAGATGCGTGCCCGTATTAGGGCATGGTCGGAGTCCAAGCAGGTGCTCCAGAATGAACGACAATCTTCTACCGACCCTCTCCAACGATGACTGATGGCAATATGGTCTATTTGAGTCCATCGTTGGTTTGGTGTAGGGGGTCGCCATGTTAGACGATGTCTCTCCTTATGCTTAAAATTTGTGTTTGCTAAAAATAAACGATTGTCTGAGCATAGCTGCAGCAGACGATCACCATTATCTGTTCGCTGTGTCGGAATACTAAAATATCCACCTAAATGCCTTTCTGTTTGGTTTAAACTGCCTATCTGAGCATTAAAATCACCTGCTACGAGTACTATGTCTGAGCGTTTAGCTTTCTGAAGAAGTTCGGATAGCTTTCTGTAAAATTCATCTTTCACTTCATCTGAGCTGCAGTCAGTGGGAGCGTAGGCAGAAACGACAAAAAGGCAACGACGTGTGTCCCTATCCTTCCGAGTTCTTACGTAGCCGTTCAGCCGAACAGCACATAGACGACTGTTGACGGGGATCCACTCTAGCAGTGCTTGTTCGGCCCTTATGCTTAGTGCTATGCCTACACCTGCCAGTCCACGAGAACTTGCCATCGGGTCACCGGACACACGAAGGGTGTATCTCGTTGGCTCTCCGTCTTGCCGAGGTGAGGTCAAGTGAATGACCACACTGGAATCCTGTATGCGTGTTTCGGAGACACAGCATACATCAATGGAAAGAGACTCTAGGGTTTTAGCCAAGGAAGCCTGCTGACCGATTTGACATAGGGTGCGTACGTTGAAGGCTCCAATGTGTAGTTTGGAGCGAGGTTTCAGTAGACCTGGGACAGTGTTTTGCGCACTAGAATCGTTGGCTACGGTGACACTTGAGGTGGAAGCCGAGAGAGGAAATACAGAGTTGAAAGTCGATGTAGGAGGAATAATAGGAATTGAAGAAGGAGGTTGATTATGAATACAGTGGACTTGAGTGCTGTTAGAAGTATGAGGGCGGTTATCACTTCCCGGTTGCCCACACCGTGGAAGGGTTGTTCTGGAGGTACCTGAAAAGGAAATTGGATTAAAGGTGGTCTTAGTGAACTGAGAGCGTGACCGCAGTGCCCAAGGGACAACTGCTTGAGGTCGGTCACACACGACCTTGTTATGGGTAATTTTTGTGTTAGCTCCGTACTTATTGAGACCTTACCGCCGGAGACGGATATCCGTGGGATAAGGCGAGGTGTGCATTTTTAGGGTCGACCTTTTCTAACCCCACCCCTCCTTGTGGGAAGGCAGCATCGCTGTCATGCTGGTTGTCTGAAGGAAACACCTTACTGCTGTCACACCTCTGTACAGTCAGCAGTACGACTTCGCCTTCGGACCTTGGGTTTGTTGCTTTTAGTCTTACCGCTCTTCAACCGACCTGTCTGACATGGTAGGACCTTGAGGAACGGTTGTTCCAGCCAGTATAGCTCGGTTGCTTCATCACGATAGGCAAGCCCGACCACCACGTCAAGGTAGCAACAACGGTCGGGTCCCACAGAAATGAATGGGTTTTTGTCTCGTATTGATTGTTGGTCTGTTGGTATTGGGCTTATACTTATTCCGTCTAAATGTCAAGGTGTTAACTTTAGCATGAGACATGAACGGCATCTAAACACCATTTTGAGATCCCATAATGCTCGTGCCATTGGAGACTCTTTGATAAACACAATGTCGAAGGTCAATTATCTTGGTGTTACCTTTTCCTCTGATCTCCCTTGGTCTTCTCACGTTTTATTGTTATCAAAGAAAGTTTTCCATCTGACTTACTACATAAAGATATTGCATGCTCTTGGGATTACTCGTCATTTACTCTTACAATTTGTCAATTCTTGCATATTACCTATTATGCTTTACTGTTCTCCATTATTCTTTCCCGGGTTTTTGAGAAAAGACTTTGCTGTATTGCGGAGAGTGCTGAAGGCAGTTAGCAAGGTGTGTGGTGAATCTTTCGAGGTCATAATTAATATGGTTGTGGATAGACATCTAAAGTCATGCAAACTCCTGGCGGGTGTTATTTTATCAGATACTAACCATCTCCTTCACTCTTATATTTCTCCTTGTATATCTTCTGGTAGAACGAGACGTAATTACATTAAAATCCATGCACGCAAGCAAAAGTATAAAATTTCTATAGTACCTTACCTAGCAAATATACTCTGTGACGAAGAGGTTGTTAGAGTTAACCTAGTCAATAAACTGCATTCTTAACATGTCTCTAATTTAAAAAGTTGTACAGTTTATCAGATTTTTTAGACCTTTTTTTGTTTTTGTTTCCGTTCTGTTTTTTGTGTAAGAAACTTGTTGAAATACCCTGTGCTGAGAATTTCTATATTGTACCAAAATATAATATTGAATAAAGCCATTAATAATAATAGTAATAATCACAACAAAAAACAGGTTATTTCTAAAATACCTATAATAAAATGAATGTACCTCGGTGTTAGTATTTTACGATTGTGTCAGCAGAATGTAACGTAGAACGTAGTGCATGTGTACATTGGTTCAAGCTACCATACCGCATTAACACGGCGAGATGAAATTGTTAGGGTAAACCCCATGGTGGTAGGGTTGTTAACAGTTTGGTGGGAATATAAAAGATTTATTTACTTATTTATTTTAACACATAGATATTGGTACAAGAAGGCACCAAATACTTATGCGTCACACAAATCTCATTCGATATGTGTGAGGGCTGTGATACTGCCCGGGTGCCCAAAACCGAAGCGGGCGGTTTTCTTAGGAGGCTACACCCGGAGCCTTCGACCTAAAGGTCTGATCCACAAGGCAGTAGAGCATCGTAAGGGGATACAGTCCCATGGTTACCGGTGACCAACGATTGGTTCATACGCCATTTGTTCCTTTAGGATACTGGAGCCCATGTGCACCATTGGTTTGGAGTCAGGGTTTTCCAACTCCCCTAGGTGGAATCTCCATGTCCACCAACCCAGTTAAAGCGCCAGACATTCGCTTTTCGTCCTCTCAATTTCGTAAACAACACCCCCGCCACGAGAAGGCAGTGAGTAGGACTTCTCTGGCAGAGACTATATACGCGTGGCCATGTGAGAGCATTTCGAGAGGGAGAGCTGACTCTCGTTACTTTCGGCCGTACCAGGGCATTTGGGGGCATAGAAAAGATTAGACATTCGAAATACAATTCAAGAATATATAAATCAGTGAAATAAAAAAATTATCAGAAATTTAGAAACCTAGAATATAAGGAAAAAAAGAGTTGATGTACCTGAACCATTGCAAATGATTTTCAATCACGTTATTCAAAATCTCTAACCACTAGTCGAGATAATCACACGGACTCCAACCAGGTAGTTTGTATCTGCCAACACTGTTTAATCCAATAGTCACGTTTGGTTTTGCCGGCCCCATAACTTTTCCATCCTATCCCTATATCAGTTATCATCGCGCGTCGAGGCAGTCGATGAAGATTTACTACCTAATCATACTCACCTAATAATCTGCATTCAACCTCAGAATTGCTAACTTGATGATCCCAAAATATACGAGCACAGACGCGTATTTGGAAAAAGAGCACACCTGTGTAAAATCGGCTCGTCACGACCACTTAAATACTCAGAAAATATTGCAAGAGGCACAAGTAAAGCGAGCCATACACAAATCAAGTGACTTATGTGGCGCATAAGTGAAAAACAACAACTGTGGCAGGACAACATCAAAACCTTTACAATATTAGGCACTTAGCTACGAAGCCACATCGTGCCTTGCTTATAAGCTAGCTAGTGAGCAAGATTTAGTAGTTAATTTCTTGTCAAAAGCAATTATTTTGCTAACACTCACTCTTCAAAGAGGCTTCTTACCATTACCACCAACTAGTTTGATTTCTGAAAGTTCCCCCAATAACAATTGATAGTGTTCATTAGCCAAAGGATCCAATATAAGTGAAAGTGCATGAGATTGTGTTTGATTTGCGTCTAGGAGTACTGCAGACAACCACCGACTATCATCAAGACAACTCAAGGACATCACTGAAAATCAAAATGAGGAACTCAGAAAATCACATCAAAAATACATTTATGAGAAATCATTCACAGTATACATATCATACAAAAAACCATGAAACATTTATTATGAGGTTATTATTAATCGTAATTTCAAGCTGATACAGAAGTTTCGAGATTCTCCGGAAGTCACGAAGCTGATGCCTCTTCTAACAACCGAAACAACAAATTATTTAGGTACATAGAATGTCCGGACAATGTAGGAGACCGGAAGAACCAGTCAAATAGCAATAGAAATGAGGAGATACAAAATGGCGGTTGCATGAATAAGATAAACCCATTAGGACCCAAATTCGATATAAAAGAATGAATTCGGAAGAGAAGCTGCTGTACTCTGATCACGAAGAAACTGCTTCGTACACTCAGAAAGCTGCTCTGATACTGTTCAGAAGTCACGTAAAGCACTGAAAGGATGAGAATCTTATGGATACAGAACCATCAAAGCATCCTTCAAAACAAAGGAGGGGATCACAATGAATATTATCCAGTTATGTGCACTCATCAATAATAGTAATTAAAAAAACCAGTTTTCTAAGAGGCTGTGGTCGATCATGGGGAAGTGCTCAGGAAAGGACCTGACCATCCAGATGAAAGACCTAAAGGCCAAAGCCGGGATGGACATCTGGTATGAATAAATCATGGGACGACATGGACTGGAAGAAAAGGACGAGAATGGTGAGAGATTTTAAAATTTATGTGCATTCAACACAATGGTTGTAGGCAACGTTATAATCACCCACAAATCCATGACGAATCCACATGGGTCTCACCGGATAACATTATAAAGGACCTGATCAATCATATTTGCATCACTAAGAACTCAGATCAATAGCAGACGTGAACACATAGAGAGTAGCTGACATAGATTCAGATCACCACCTGGTGGTTACCATTAAACTGAAGCTAAAGAAGCACTGGATAACTAGAGAAACAGCATTGCAATGATTCAGTATAGACTTCCTCCGAGATACTGACAAACTCAACGAATTCAGGATACCTCTCTGCTATGTTTGAAGCGGTTACGAGTTCACCTAGTCTGCGAACGGAACAAAGACTGTGATCAAAGACCAATAAGCTAGCTATTCTGATGCGTCCCAGCCCGGTAACTAGAGAGAGAAGTGCAAGTCCGAAACGGAGAAATATACTCTCAAGTAGCCAGTAGTACGAGCAATCAAGACAAGTCTAGTTGGAAATACACTCATATATATTGGTTTGTACACCCATTATTTGATTAATAATCAGATAAAATCACATATATGAAAGATACTTAGTTATAACAAATCATATGTTGAATATAGTCATGTTAACTCAATACAAGAATATCGTATGTTATACAGAATTAAATGTCAGGGGGAAACGGAACAAATACTATACTGAGTGATCATCAAATTGAATTAAACGGAATTACTGTTGAATAAAAGTCATAATAAATAAATCAATCTAATTCGGACTTTTCAACCCTCATAACACCCGCAGAAACAGGTTCCAAGCCTTACAAGACCTATTCAAAAAGAGGAAACTACTAGGGAGAACAAATGGGAATGGATCAAAGAAGAACTAGCTTCAGCGTTTAAGGATGCGCTGGACCTCAAGAAGCATCATCATAACAAATGGATTCTAGCGAAACCCTGGACAAGATTCAAGAGAACAAGATAGCAATTAACAGTTGAACAAGAGAAAGCCAAGGCACAAGCTCAGTACACTGAAGCAAACAAGTGAGTGAAGAGTAGCATAAGAGCTGACAAGCAGAAATACGTAGAAGACCTAGCAACAATGGTGCAAAAAGCTGTAGGAGAAGGAAATGTGAAACAACGATATGACAGAATGAAGAAATTGGCAGGGAAATACAGCAAACCTGAGAGACCGGTCAATAACAAAGGCAAGCCAGTCACTGAGAATCCACAACATAGCAACAGATAAGTGAAACACTTTAAAGAACTCTTGAATTAATCAACCCCACTGAACCCACCGGATATCGATGCAGCACACACAGACCTTCCTATACCTGTCATTCCGCCAATGATCGAGGAAGTCAGGATGGCCATCAGACAAGTCAGGAGTGGGAAGGCAGCAGTACCTGGCAACATGCCAGCTGAAGCACTGAAGTCAGGTATAAAAGTAACGGCAAAGATGCTCCATGTTTTGTTCAGTAGGATTTGGGAGGAAGAACAAGTGTCGACAGAAAAGAAAGAAGGATATCTCATCAAGATACTAAAGAAATATGAGCAAATGTGAAAACTAGAGGCACCGCACTACTGTCGGTACCAGAATGCGTTTTCAACGGCGTTGCTGAACCGGATGAAAGACTTGGTAGACGCCCAACTTCGAGATCAGTAGACTGGATTCCGTAAGGGTTGGTCGTACACAAATAGAGTCGCTATACTATGGACTAATGACAAGCAATCAGTTGTACTGAATTCATCGCTATACACCTTGACTATGAAAAGCATTTGACAGTGTGGATAGGAGAGGTTGTGAATCTTCATCGACTGAGATGGTTGGGCCACATGTTGAGTATACCTGAACACCGATTACCATGACGTGCAATGCTAACCGGTGTTGGAAATGGTTGGAAGAAAAGTTAGGGGCGGCCAAACCAAAACGTGGCATCAGTGCTTGAAGACACGAACTTCTAGTCTGAGCCATGTTGGTAGATGCAGACTACTTGGTTGGGGTCTGCGTGACTATCGTAACCAATGGTTGGAGACTATTGGTGACATGGCTCAGAATCGATCACAGTGGCGTAGGTGTATACACTATCTTCTCTTAAACTAAGAGATTAAAACCACTTCATATCTTTCTTTCTACGAACTAATTCCTTCTTCCTGTACTAGACTTTATATGCAGTCTTTCTTCTATATATTACCTCCATTGAAGTAACTACGTCTATGAATCCAGTGTTCATCTTGCTGTGATAATGTGGTATGGCAACTTGGACCGATGTGTGTGTCTGGTCCAACGTTGTAGCTAACTGACTGACTGGATAGGAGGACATTATGGAAACTTAGACACAATGGTGTAACTGAGGTCGTCAACATCATCCGGAATACATACAAATTACAACAGTCATGCATGGAAGACAGCTGGTAGACGCACTCCAAGTGAAGACCGGAGTCAGACAAGACTGCCTACTCATTTCCTTTCTTTTTCTTCTGGTGCTCGACTAGATTATGAAGACATCGACATCTGAGGGAAAGCACGTAATACAATGGACAGCTTTAATGCAATTAAACGATTTGGAATTCGCAGATGACCTAGTTCTTTTATCTTATACACACGAACAAATGCAGGTCAAGACAACCAGTGTAGCAGAAGCCAATGCATCAACAGGCTTCAACATACACAAGAGAAAAAGCAATATCCTCAGATAGATCGCGGAGAACACCAAATAAATCACACGTGGGGAAACTCTAGAAGTGAAATCTTCCACTAAACATGTGTGCAGAAGGCCCGGATTGGTCCGTTTTCGGTATGTACAGAGGGCAATGCGACATCAATGGATCCTTATCATAAGAACGTGAATGGCTGTAATGACTAAGTCGCACACTATTTAACACACCGAAAGAACATAGACAAAAAATAAACGCTAGTCACCTACATTTGGTTTATTCTAGGTAAATTCCCAAGCTGCCAATTTCGGGGATACTTTGGCTTATTTTGGGGAAGCCGCTATAGTAAATTTTGGGGAAATTTTTGGGAAATGAGACGCGATCCCCAAAATTTCCCCGAACGTTGGAGAAGTCTCCCCGAAATTCCCCAAACTTGGCAGCCCGGGTTTATGCTTTAGGTCCAAGTATTACAACTGCTAGTAAGAATTGTGGGTTAGTGCATCAAGTGAACTGAAAGCTATGTCCATTAGAACCGTCGAAAATAACTTATGTATGAGAAAGTAGTTCACTGTCGACCCTTTGAGACGACAGTGGTTATTGTTTTAGGCAATAAAAACGTTTGACAATCAGCATTACTGAAATTTCATAAGCAGTTAACAATAGATTATGTGCTAAAAGGCTATCACAGCAACACCCAAGTAGTAAAATAAACACACTATCCAACTGGTTTTGGACAAAAGATATGAACGAAATCTCATGAAGTATCAGGTCCAACACCTCTCCAGAAGTCTTTTATGGATATACCAACACTCCAATGACTCGCTCCAGTCATCCAGAACAAGTTAAAATATGTCATAAATTCAATGTGGTGTGTCGATTCAACAGATTAGAATGCTAAAGTTGAGTTAGTATCGAATAATAGTGATTTTATCGAAAAGCCCCTCATTTTTTAGTTAGTTGTTACAAACACTCTAGGACTTAGGCAAACAGCTAGGAATATCCTTTAATTGTAAGAAAATAGAGATATCTTGATATCGTTGGTAGCCTTCAAAAATATATAGGGAACGTACGATGACCGTATCTGTGTTATGGACTTGACAGCCGCTGACATTTTTGCTGTACAGTCTACACTGTCTTAACAACAAAGTACGTACGAAATAAACACAGTACCGGCTCCCCCCCCCATTTCCCCAAAATTGGGAGATTAGGGCCTTATATGAATGGATGCGCACTTCCACTTTATGATGAAAGCGAGAGACAAACATCAGAAATAACACAAGTATGAGATAAAAGACAACCTGACAAATGAAACTAGAAGTTGATAGTATAAGGTTCCAAATGAGTCATAAAACAACAACTCCGAACTCACCGCTTTAGGTTGAATTCAACCGTTGTCGAGGCCAATGTGACAATGATTGCAAAGCTATTTGACCTTCAAGGCCGTGTTTCAAAAAATGCAGTGATTTTGTGCTTGTTGTGGTTATCCTTGCCTTTGTGTAATTGTTGTATCAAAAGCATTCTTGGTCTATATTAAATCACTTTAGTTAAGGTTTGAAATCTTGCTAAAGTTTGTCTTGTGGTACCCTTTTACTTCTTGAATGACACTTGTGTTTATATTGTGATCATATTGTGTTTTATACTTAATCTGACTAAATTGGTTGTTAGTACTCACAAACGTGGACAACCAAACTGCTTTTTCACTGTGGAGGAAGGAATGCAGTGTGATGAATGCAAAAAGTCGTTCCATAGGATGTGTACCGGTTTAAGTCCCACCGCGTACAAAAGGTGTTCAAAGCCTAACTCACATTAGCTTTGCATGTTTTGCTGTGCAAACAAGACGTTATTAATACAGAAGGCTATGAGCCTATTGGCTTTGGCCTGTAAGAAAACGATGGCGCATGCGCTGATAACACGAACACTGACAGCGTCGAATATGTCAGTGTAGTACCTACTGTTACGAGACGCCTCAAATACCCGACTGTGCCACATGACATTGACATTGGTAATCATGCACTTCTAGTGGGAATTGAAGATCCGTATAAAACCGCCACCGTTCCAAATAGTCCAGGTGTCCTGAGTGATGATGACTACAGTACGGAGAAAACTAAACTAATAGAAAAAAGCTGTAGGCAGCACGCAGCTGGTTAGCAAGTCATTGTTGCACTCTCATTTTGAGTCACAAAATGCACTACCAAAATGTGACAGTAAGAGAGAAACCCACGCTGGCATGACTGAGAAGGAGAATCTGTAGTGTCATTGGACCATAACTACACAATCCTCAAAGCTGAACATGAGACAATCGGGAAAATAGATATTCAATATTTAACGCGGAGAAACACCTAACGATGGAGAAGGCAGGAACAAGGAGTTTAATTAATTGGAGTTGGTTGAATGGCATGACTCGGCCTTGCATGCGTGGTCCCTGTTGAATGTTACCTTATATCTTTTGTTCATATTAAATATATTGCTCTGTCTCTAGCCTACGCTTGCTTTCCATCATATATCGGTGATTGTTACGATGCAATGAGTTGGTGTAGAGAATAATGTGACTTTCACGTAAGATCTTATACATTAGGCCGTTATATCATGACAAGTTTACAATTTTAGGATTAGGTCTATTATTAACGCAATACTAATATCACAGTAGACCATAATTCTACAGATCTAATATCATCGAATATTATTGTGGGCAAATTACCAAAGTAAAACGACCCTGATCCCAAAATCAGACACGCACATGACTTAGAGAAGCTGGGAGAATATATTCGTAGTATCTTGCTAGATAACTCTGAAGGATTTCAGGCCAAGAAACTCATTAGAATAGGCAAGAGGACCGAGGACGATGTTGAACCCTGACCATGCAAACTCATTAAGGTAATCTTAGGATCGGAGAAGCAACGGGATCTCCTGTTAAGTGAACAGATTAAGGTCACTCATTATAGCGGTGACAGAAACTTGGTTGGTCCATGACTTGGACATTAATCCAGAATTATCCGTATACCATTATCTAAGGAGTGATAGACATGGGTGTAGTAAAGGAGAAGGCGTCCTGTTATATATAGCCAATAATATAAATATTCGCTCCTCTGCTAGCAAATCCCATGATAGCGGTACTTGTGAAGCCATTAGCTGTAAATTGGCTATCGGATGTAGTACATTTATGCTCAATGTCATCTATCGCAACCCGATTGACTTAGCTGACGACTTTATTTTAAATCACATTCACCTTTGGAGTGAAAATACCAGATGCTTGATAATAGGAGACTAATGCACCTGATACTAGTTGGACTGAGATGACCACAGAAAGATCTATGAACTCCTTTGACAGTAGGTTCCTGATAACAATAATGGAGCATGCATTAGTGCAGCATGTATTCCAAACGACACGTTTTGGTGTTAACCAAGGTTCTTCTCTGTTGGACTTGGTAATCACTCATGAGACTGAGGATATTGTCGACCTAAATATTCTTCACTGTTAGTGAACAACGATCACACTGCTTTGTCATTCACGTTTAGAACTAGGGACATGTTATACGACCAGGTTACACCCCGTCCAAATGCATGGAAAGCTAATATATCAGCCATTCGGAAGTACGCTGCTAAGACAGATTGGCTTGTAGATACTAGTTTATCAGTTGAAGAAGCATGGTCTATACTTAAAGGTAAGTTTAGTTTAGTTACGTCCTCGTTCATACAATACCTGGTACCGCGAAGATCGAATAACAGTCCACCATGGATAACTAAACCCGTCAGGAAACTTCTTAGAAAAAGAGGAAGCACTAGAATATGTTCATCTCTACTGGCTTAGAACAATACAGACTCAGTTATTGTAAGATCAGGAATGCTTGTACAGCCTTGATAAGTAAGACTAGACGACTGTTTAAAAAACAATTGGTTAGGGATTCTAGATATAGTCCGAAACGGTTATTCTCGTATATAAAAAGGCGAACTCAGAGAAGTGATGGAATTCCATCACTTTTGATACAAGAAAATCCGTTAATCTTGGCAGAAAATGATACCGAAAAAGCTGAAGCTACATCAGAATATTTCAGTAGTGCTTTTTATTAGTAATGAGGAACGACCAACAATTCATTATGATTGTGGCGGCTCTGTTGGACCCTACAGTCATTGAGAAAGGTACTGTTTTAAGGCTACTTCAACATCTCAAACCTGATAAGTCCAGTTGTCCTGATGATATTCATACTAGGACTATGAAAGCCATATCAGATGTAATCTCTGAGTCATTAGCGATACTGTTTGACATGTCTCTGAGGCATTCCAGACTGCCCAGAGACTGGAAAGACGCTGTAATAAGTTCGATGTATAAGGCTGTGAGTAGGGATTTAGTTAGTAACTATAGGCCCGTTAGCTTGACTAGTGCGGTTGTATAACTGATGGAAAAAATCATTCGGATATCTGTTATAAACTATGTTGAAGGGCATAATATTTTCTCCAGGGAACAGGGTTTTCGGATAGACCTATCATGCTTGACAAATCTTCTCATTGCAAGAGAAGATTTGGCTACCGCAAAAGATCGAAATGATCCTGTGGATGTGATCTACATAAATCTGAGTAAGACCTTCGATAAGGTCTCACATTCTGGTCTAAAATTCAAACTGGAACGTTTTGGAATCCATTATACAGTCGTAGAGTGGATAAGTAACTTTCTTCAAGACAGGAGACAAAGAGTAAGGGTAAATGGGGCTCTCTACTCGTGTGTACCCGTAAAAAGTGGAGTTTCTTAAGATACAATCCTCGATCCTCCCCTATTTTTACTCTGTGTAAGTGAATTACCAACTGTAGCAAAACCATCCGTTCTACTCTTTGCCGATGACATAAAGATTTGGAGACCCATACACAGTATGTCAGCTAGAATACTATTACTGGATGATCTTAGCTCATTGGTGGCATGGTCGGACAGGTGGTCACTAGAAGTAAATCCTAATAAGAGTAGTGATGCAAATAAATAACTATGATGAATCGTATCACTATACAATATGTGGATTCGTGCTACCCAAACTAAGAAACTATAAAGATTTAGGAGTTATATTAAGCAATGAACTCAAAACCAGTAGTCACTGTAAAGCTGCTGCTGCGAAAGGCTATGGGGTATTATGGTCTATTCGTAAGTCTTTCCAGTATTTAGATGATAAAATTCTCGGATTATTATACCCGATTTACGTGCGACCACATTAGAATATGGGATTCAAGCAGCGAGTCCTTGCTTCAAGTATGAAGCAGACATGCTGGAAAGAGTCCGAAGACGAGGTACTAAGATGGTACAAGGTTTATCTGTCCTATCTTACGAAGACAGACTGAGACATCTTAACTTATTCCCGTTACCTTACCGTAGAATACGGGATGATCTAATATTGGCTTATCCTATACTGAACGATGACCTTGGTATTAACATGTCTTATCTCTTGCTTCCGTCTAGGACTGATCATTTGAGAGGACATTCGAAGAATGTTCAAAAATCGAGATCGAATCGTTTACGTCTGGAGTTTTTAGTGGCCGTGGATCTGACTACTATTTAGATCGTACGAATGTTTGTTATCGCCTATTCTCGTATATAATCATCGACTTAATTCACTTATCCAATAACGGAATTAAATAAGTCGAATAAGGAGAATTGATTTGTGAATGCATATATTTTGTATATGAAGCGAATGAAACATAGCAAAGCAAAATGACACGCAGGGAAGATGGCTGGGAAGCCAACTCCATTTTGGTCAAGCGTTACTCAATATTTATAGTCAGACAAAAATAAACTACAGATATGTGATGAGTCATGGGATATGAAGTGTACACACGTATACGCTCATATAAAAACAGTCAAGACTGATAACCAAATAATTGACAAGGTCAAAATATGACTCAAGTAGAATGAATAGAATGGAATGTCCGAAAGCTAGAATAAGATATATGGGCTTAAAATAATGACTGACATTACAAGTTCAGTTTCTCGCACCGAGTAGTGAATTACTGGAATTCTCTACCGGAACACATAATATCAGCACCTTCTGTTGATATATTCAAGACGAGATTGAACCTCCACAGTATTACAAACTGCAAAGATTAATATAGGTCGACAGACCTCCTATCCTTATTACTGAAGACTGAAGGCCGCAGTCATTTGCGCCAGTATTGAAGGTCGTCGAACCTTTTCGGAATGAAATGGTACTGGTTGAATTTTTGTTACTGTATCTTTTCTGTTTTGTTGGTATGTTGGCTACTAAACGTATAAATTAACTTCAGCCAAGTTTTAGCTTGTCGTACGGAAGACACACATCAAATTGGGCTGTTCTTGTAGATACTTCGCGGTTCTGGTTCAACTATCGACATATAAGCAATGTCCTTTCAATTTATCGAAGTATCAAGCGCCTCGGAATACCAGATAGGTATCATATTTATTATTATATTTATTCATCTTAAAAGCCGTATTATTTTGATGGTGGCTGATGATGCAAGTTGTAGCTCTAGAAACCCGAGACCAGGTAAGATATTTGACGTATCCTTATGGTCTTAGCAACAATCTTCAACAATCCTTACAGTCGGGTAAATTTGTATGGCGAAGAGATAGAGATTGATTATCGTGGTTACGAAGTTACTGTAGAAAACTTCATTCGTGTACTAACTGGGCGTTTACCTCCTTCGACACCTACTTCTAAGCGCCTCAATACTGACGAGCACAGTAATATCCTAATATATATGACAGGTAGTTCCTAAAAACTTTAATTCCGGCTTCAGGCCATGGTGGTGATGGTTTCCTTAAGTTTCAAGATGATCATGAACTTTCTAACAGTGAACTGGCCGATGCGATTGAACAGATGTGGCAGAAACGTAGGTGAGTCTGGATTTATCAGTTTTTAACTTGAGAAGTTGAGTCCATACTCTTCGAAGGCACTGTTTTATCTGTTGGTTACAGTGGTCTAATTTATGACAGAACGAGGACTAAATTTGTACACTTCTGTGCCTGCTTACTGTGCTAATCTAAGTTTATGGGTTTAATATTGAAATTTAACAATTTGACTAACCCTGTTTTGATATTCAAAAGTTCAACTAGTTCTTTTTAAGATTGGTGTAGTAAGGACAGGGCCTTATGCCTATGTTATTCTTTTTCTAGTGTGGTTTTGTGAGTGCCTAGTCTTTTCTTGAACGAGTCAATTGAAAGTGCGGACACCACTGCTTCGGGTAACAGGTTCCAAGTATTGATGACTCGGTATAAAATCCTGCATGCCACGGGTATTTTGTTCGTTCTTCGCTTTTCTACTCTCCTATATCCTCTGAGATGTCCCGATCTAGTGGGTAGCTGCCCTCTGTACTTTTTCTAGGATATCCGAGTCACTTTTTATTGTAAACGGCAGCATTATTATGTACAAGTCTGTCATTGGAGATGTTACTATTACGTAAATGACAAATTAGTCGTTTATGCATACTGTTTATGTTCCTGGCTGTTAAATATACACTAATTTTCACTTCATATGCAACATATAGAAGTATTAGCCCCTCAAAAATAAGCATGTTCTCACTACCGATTAAGTGAAGCTATCAGCCATTTCATAAGCACTCATAATAAACGCCAGCATGTTTATAGCTGTTTATTTAACATCATTTGTATCGATGACCCAGAACTTCCAAATTTACACTTACACATTCAAAATGGTAGAGTCAAAAAAGACCGCAGGGTGTCACAAGAAATGAGTATGAGTCTGCAAGAATTCCGATCGGATGACTGAGAAATCTGTTGTAGGCTGAAAAACTCTGAATTTCAGGATTATCTCAAAGACTTGTTCTCATGACTTTCCGAATAGTCAAGTCTTAAAATCTCGTGCTATTGAGATCTCGAGTTTACTAATCAAAATTAAATCAACTTGTATAGAGCATCCTCCTAAGCAAACCGTCTTCAATCTGGGCTCCCGGGCACAAACCCAATGATGACTACAACTGGAAAAAAAACCATGTCCGATTCAATTCTTATTCTCTTGAAGTATACTCTCAGCTTTCCGGTAACATTCGTTTCTATTTTGCATTGCGTTACGTGTCTGTTCTCTTTTATTCCCACTTTATGTATTTATTTACTTCTCAACTCATACAGCACTCTCCTGTGGTGGGAATCCTGTCCCATCTAAAAGATCTCAAATCAATGGCTCGTCGAGATTTGAAGGCTACTACCGAACACGAATTCTGAACCAGCCTTTCTAAAACCATGTGTGCCATTTGAACTGGCCTCCAACGTTCGCACACTAGTGTAAATCGCACGACAGATAGGGTTGGATGCCTTTAGGAAGTCTGGAAATCGATGTCTGTTGTCCATCCTGGGCACGTATTCAACACTAGTGAAGTACTATCTATTCTTTCCCCATCTATCGCTCCAAAAAGCTTGTTCCATGTACATTTATTCAGGGACTCTGTAGCATCTTCGTATGGATTTGCTGGGGAAGTTAAATTTTTTTGGCCACTGAAACGTAAGATTAACACAAACAATGGCATAATGAGAGTCCGGATTAATACTCCAGAAGGGGAGGTAGTTTTATACACAACCTCGCATGTAAGTAGGATTTCCCTACCTGTGAATATGTACTCTGTGCCATATGAGAGAGCATTCTGAGGAGGTTGACAGACTCTCCTCATCCTCGGTCGTACAGTGTGTTCGGGGGCTAGAAATTCTTGTATGAAGACCACAAAATAAGTTTCGTCTTCTTAGAATTTAGAACCATCTATTATTTACACTTGATACCACAACTTGACGATTCGTTTTAAGTTTTTCTTTATGAAATGTCTTGAAGTTGATGTCATTAAAACGTTCTTGTTCAACTTATTAACCACTGAATCTACTTATTTCCTAAATAGGTATCATGAATTACTATTCATTGTCGATACATGTCAAGCTGAATCAATGGGCAAGTTGTTTTATTCGCCTAATGTAGTAGCCATCGGTAGCAGTGCTATAGGAGAAGAATCATTATCTGTGAGTTCAAGTTGATATTTCTCAAGGCAATACTTGAAGCTTTATTCTTTATGCACGGTCTACTTGTCATTCATTTTGATATGAATTGTCTCAGTCAATACTGAGAATATTAGCTTGCTTCAACTCATATTTACATCCACTTTTCATTGATTAAGGTTTACTGACTTTCTTATTACACAGTTCTCTTTTAACTACCACCCTACCGAATGTTTTGAAATGTAATCCATCATTTGACTTAGGTGGTTAGAAGGTTTCGAAATATTTCCCTAATTCAGTCGTACAAATTATCTATATACGTTTTTCTGTGTAGTTAAATTGGGTTTTTAGTGACCATAAATCTGACTCCGATTTTATCGTATGTTGATTGTTATCTAAATATACATGTCGCCAATCCTAGTATGTTATCATCGACTTAAATCAAGTTGGTGAACAATGAATTTAAATAAGTCGAATACGAGATTGAAATTTTGAATACGTATATTTCATACAATCGTTGATCTGATCAGCCAATAAAGGAGACGGAGCGAAGAGGAGAGAGAGAAGCTAAACTAAATGACGCGCAGTGGAGAGGGCGAATGAGCCAACTCGATTTATAATCCAACAAAAAATTAAGTTACAGACGACATGAGTAAGATAAGAAATGTACACACATAAATACGCTCATATAAAAACAGTCAAGGTTGATAAACCAATAAGTGACAGGGTAAAAATGCGGCTTGAGAAGAATGAATAGATCGATCTGTCTAGAGGCTAGAATAACCTATGTGGACTTGACATAGTACCAGCCCCTACATGTTTATGAAATGAAATGGCTGCAAGACGTACTGAACCGAAACTACGGACAAAAAACTGACTACCAAAAATGCTAATGAAAAACGATGTCTAGATACAACTAGGGTGTATCATAGATGTATTTCCTGCTATGAATTCTACGATATATTAGTATTCCTCCAAACAAACAATACTCTAAACTAGCAAGAGTCAGAAACTCAATATTAAAGGAAAAACAACGAAATTGTGCATATATGTTCAAATGTAGTGACTGTAATGCTGTATATGTGGGTGAAACACAACTACAGCAGAATTTGAGTGTGAAGCATACTCCTTAATCCTCAAATGACTTGAAGGAAAGTTAAGAAACAAGTCAGTGATACCGTCAGATTTAGTAGAGTCCAGATGTATAATTTATTTCAGTGACACTAGAATCCTTCAAAAGGTTTTATTTTATACAAAGAGACATCGGCTGAAGTCCTACATATATAGGCAAACCCAAACAATATTTATATGAGAGATGGAATACAATCAACTTAATTTTACACCTTATTTTATTCATCTCTTGGACAATAACAATTACTTTCAGTTGTTCTAATCGATTGGTTAGTTCGAATATACAATAAAAAATCAACGTGGTCGACGCAATAACGTGAACATTTATTTGTTTATTTATCCTCAAATGATGAATGGTGTGACATGTTTGATTCATATCATCTGTCAAATGATCTAATTTCAATAAATTTCTAATCCGAAACGAAATGGTCGATGCATTTTTCTGGCGTCAGATCTAAATATACTTGTTATATCTTAACACAATTTCTCCACTTTTAATACCAAATATCTCATACACGCTACAATAAATCTCCATTTCAAAATTGTTAACGTGATTGAATAACTTGTTTATTATAAATTTGACTTGTGAACTATTTATATTCGACAATTTTGATGTTTGATTATATTTCCTTCAAAAAGTCTGGGCCAGATTGCCAAACAAAACGTTGAATTTACTTAAAGTTCAATCGCTGAGATTTTCACAAGTATAATTTTCCTCCTTAATTGAATGGTTAGTAGATATTTTGAGTTTCTCTCTGAACTTCGAAGTACATAGCTTGTATGTACTTGTTACACATCCCGACCGTAGTTGCTACCTTGACGTGGTGGTCGGGCTTGCCTATCGTCATAAAGCAACCGAGCTCTACTGGCTGGAACAACTGTTCCTCAAGGTCCTACCATGTCAGACAGGTCGGTTGAAGAGCGGTAAGACTAAAAGCAACAAACCCAAGGTCCGAAGGCGAAGTCGTACTACTGACTGTACAGAGGTGTGACAGCAGTAAAGTGTTTCCTTCAGACAACCAGCATGACAGCGATGCTGCTTTCCCACAAGAAGGGGTGGGGTTAGAAAAGGTCGACCCTAAAAATGCACACCTCGCCTTATCCCACGGATATCCGTCTCCGGCGGTAAGGTCCCAAAAAGTACGGAGCTGACACAAAAATTACCCATAAAAAGGTCGTGTGTGACCGACCTCAAGCAGTTGTCCCTTGGGCACTGCGGTCACACTCTCAGGTCTCTAAGACCACCTCTAATCCAATTTCCTTTTCAGGTACCTCCAGAAGAACCCTTCCACGGTGTGGGCAACCGGGAAGTGATAACCGCCCTCATACCTCTAACAGCACTCAAGACCACTGTATTCATAATAATTAGACATCTTGTTTAATTTGAATTAGATTTATAAATTTATTGGTTAGTTTGCAATTGTTTTGTCATACAGTTGTGATGTTCCTCACTTATTGAATCCTACTAGTGTTAGCGATATTGTCTAAGTATCAGTTTTCTTGACTAAATTCGTATGCATTTTTCATGTATTTCCCTTCATACAGACTGCTGGACTGGATGTGGTTGGAATTAAGATTTCCCTTTAAATTTAATCATATTTGTATGACAACTAATTTTATACTATGCAAAAATATTCTCACTTTTATCATTCAGCTCCATTCGGATCGCGAAATTGGGACCTATGTTTCTGATCGATATTCTTACTATGCGTTTCAGTTTTTGGAGTCTGTTACTCCTTCGAGCAAAAGAACATTGTATGATTTTGTAAGTTTAAATTATACCATAGCTTTTTGTTTCTGTACTGAAAACTCCGTATAGTTTTATGTGCTAGATTAAACAGTCGACAGTAAAATTGATGGTTATCTTACTATTCCTTATATTAACCTTGTTAGTTGTCGATCTTATCACTAAAACGTAAGGGCTGGTGAAACTTTTCAGCATAGTGAATGTTATACTCATAAAATGACTAGTAATGTAGTTAGTAGCTTGAATTTTACCGAAAAGTCAAAAATTGATAGGAATAATAAACTGCAAAAACGAGTTTATATCATGACAAGACAGATTTTGATATTGTTGGGGACGACATATCCCCAAAACTCATATTTTGTAATTCTATCATATCGATTAAATGTTGAAATATTTGAATGGCCAGTCAGTTGATGAACTTATCGTTTAAATTTTTAAATAGCAGACAATTGATGACTCATTGATTATTGTTTAAAAATTTCTTATTACAAAATCGATATATATTTGTATAAATACGCTTGACTTGTATGCTTGATCTGATCTGCCTCCCTGACTTGGTATCTGCTGTTGCTTGTAGAATACACTTTCTACGCCTTACCAAGACTTCTTAATCGAGTTAGCTGAGTCGAAGACAACGGACCAGAATAGTCTATTGAGTCTCTGAATCCTGAGCCTTCGTTCCGTTCTGAATAAGTTGAATCAGTAGTATCCTCAAGGTTAACGAACCTAACAGATATTGAAGTTTGATAAGAAAAACAGGTGAATAGAAATAAGTTGTGTTGGGGGGATTGGAAGTTAGCTTGGTGATTGAAAATGAATGAAGTGATTTAATTGCTTCATTTGTACACACAGTTCTGCTTGGTTTATATGTGTTGTGGAAGTTTCAGCAGTTCAAATAAGGCAACAGGTCAGTGTTTTTAGTAGATTTCTACTCACTACGTGAATGACCATTGTTCACAAAGTGTCCAGTCAGTCAGTCAGTCAGTCAGCTACAACGTAGGACCAGGCACATATATGCATTGGTCCAAGTTGCCGTACCTCATTAGCACAACAAGATGGACACCGGATTCATAAAAGTAGTTAATTCAAAGGTGGTAATATATAGAAGAAAGATTGTAATAAGGATATAGTATAGAAAGAAAGAATTAGTTCGTAGAAAGAAAGATGTGAAGTGATCTTAATCTCTTAGTTTAAGAGAAGACAGAGAGTGTATACACCGACGCCATTGTGATCGATTCTGAGCCATGTCACCAAGGGTCTCCAACCATTGGTTACGAAAGTCACGCGGACCCCAACCAAGTAGTCTGCATCTACCAACATGGCTCAGACTAGAAGTTAGTGACTTCAGGCACTGATGCCACGTTTGGTTTGGCCGCCCCTAACTTTCTTCCAACCATTTCCAACACCGGTTAGCATTGCACGTCATGGTAATCGGTGTTCAGGTATACTCAACATGTGGCCCAACCATCTCAGTCGATGAAGATTCACAATCTCATCAACTGATTTACCATCATTCCCTAATAAAGTCCAGTCCTTGAGTGTGGTATGGATCTGTTTCAATATACAGATGGTGTTCTTAAATCTACAGCGATTACGATGATAAATATAATTTCTAACTTTTCAGCTCCCTTAACTATCCAACGCCTATCTGAAGATTGAAGACGTAAAATCCAGGCAAATCAACCATGTTTTAAACACTGCAACAAATGTATTCACTAAGTTCCATCCAGTTATTTTTATTGCTGTTAATTTCAGATTAAACTTTTGCTCTTCATCTTGTAAGTTGTGTTTCTCTGTGCCGAAGCATGATATGGTACACTGAAAAGATTAGCATATATGATAATTCCTACATTTTTAAGAGCATTATCAACAACTGTCATTTTCCGTGACATGTGATTGTTGTTCGAGATTAAAGAAATAGCCTATATATAATTAAAACAATTTGAATGAATTGTTCTTGAACAGTTTAAGCTGTTTCAATATTATTTTGACAGTGGTTGTAACCAATGACTGGATGTCTCATTGTTTAAATTACAGTGTTGGTAATGAATCCACATTTATTTTCTCATTTATTTCGATCATATGATTACTGAGTGTTTATTTTATTTCTCTCTAATGTTGCTTCCTGATTTTTCGTCGTATCTCTACAACATGTAGTAACTTTTATCGATACATTCTTGTGATAGACTCTATAGACTTATTAGCTTTTTCATAAGCGGATTATGTATCTCAGTAAACGTACCTAAGTCAGTTATTTAGCTATACAAATTAATTGCATTGTGTTTTTACTTCTTTATTTGTAACTTAGTCCCAGTTATGCTCTTTCTCATTATGTCAATCAACTGTTATCACTCGATCTGATTTATTTAGACGTGATATACGTCGCGTACTTGTTACAGATTTTTTTGGTAGCGTGCGTCATATAATCCCTGGACCAGTTATAGAAATTAACAATTCCACTTTGTATGAAAACAATACATTGTAAGTTCACTGCACATGCACATAATTATTTTTTTAATTGAGAACAAAGTGTATTTGAGAATGGACAGTTTGAAAATGTAAATCCACTCTTCCTGGTCTAGTTCAACTCATTTTGTATAAGGATAAGAAAACTTATTTTATGTAGTGTAATTATATTTGCACTGCTCGACTACTTAATACTTAAACACAGTTATTTAAATACAACATGGTTAACAGCTTGATATCATCTATCTATATAAAGCAGGCCTAATAACTTTGAAAGAACTTGTTCGAATTCTATAATGATTCTGTTTATTTTAACAGAAGTAATCTCTTAGTAATTGAATTATTCATCATCCTATCAGTATACGTCACATGTTCAACCTCCATTCTACCTGCTTTAATTAAAGCAGCTGCGTTGGTATTACTATATTGGTGGTTGAAATTCATGACCCCTTTGACGGAAAATTAAGAGTATGGTTATAAATCTTTAAAAATAAGCTACTGGTTAGCCTGAATTTCTAAGTGTATCGTTATGTGATTAGGAGTGCATTTTGTATCTCCTGTATGAATTATTTAAATCGACTGTTAATAATACACTGTTGTAATACGACTAGTTATAATCCATATAAACTAGTAATCACTTTGCAGTAAAAACTCATTCACCGTTCAGCACTAATTAAATGTGCAGTTTACATTCTTGGTCTTGGTATCCGGAACCTCGCGGTATAATAGTGGTGTAAACATGATCAATATGCGTATTGAGTTGATTCTACATGTGATGCATCTTAATAACAGGAATATCGTTCAAATACTCGTCTCTCTTTTTGAATAATATAGTCTAACAATCTGCAAAAGTCTCTCCAATTCTTTTTTGCCTATGTTCTTCATTACTTCACTTTTTCGATGGAATTGTAGTAAAAATGAGTTTGTTCACCTAACATCCAAATAGTGGTTCAAATGTGCTGTCGACACCAACAGATTACTGAGTTTATGTTACGCAGTCTGAAAGTAATAACTCATCTTGTTCATTTCCAAAAGTGGTTGTACTATAAACAGAATAAAGATTTAGGTAAAATATCATTGGATGTTGTAATTTAGTCGGTTATTAATGTATTTGGTTCCATAAGGTCTAAATCCAAAATTTTCGTGTTGTGATTTCAATATACCTGAGATACCCGACAAATAGGGCTTCTTGTGTGACGGAGATAATTCGTTCCCATGTTTGTGTTAATATCAACGTTAAGTGATTTTCTAATGTAGGAAAACTATATTCAGTGAAATGAGTGTATTTTTACAATCGTGGGCTGATGAAGCGCTATAGGTATCTGTGAAACTAGTAACATTTCCACGCTAGTTATTAAAGATGTACATGTTTAAATTTGTAAAGCCTTAAAAAGGGTGTTTTAAACGGTTATTTTCTCAAAGATTCCTTGTTTTAGTTTTTGTGTACTTTGTCTACGTATCCAATTTTCTTTTTCATTGCTACAATACCCTCCTATTTTTCTATATTTTATGATTATAGAATTAAACACTGAATCGAAGCATTTTTCGTACGTTACACCTCTCAACGTGTATCTGTGATACTAGTTTTTTAATTAATATATTATTGTACAATCCGTTAGACCGTTTACATACGTTTTTTCTGTAATAATTGTTTCAAAATTTATTGAATTTCGTTAATATGCCATCATAACTTTTTAATACCACAAGAAGAGCTAAGTTTGTCAATCGCTATAAATTTTCAGCCTATTCATGCTATCAGTGGAGCTTTATGGTTTGACGTTATCGAAGTAGTTTTTAATTTCCTAAGTGATAGTGTAATTCCGTTCGGTGCGGAAATACATGACTGACACTTATTTCAAAGATTAGTTTGAGATATGAAGTTCTTTGTGACAATATTTTCAGATTGAGGAATATCACCGTGTTATTCCAGTTATTGTTTCCGGTAAAATGGCGTGGATGCTAACTGTTTTATGAACTTGTTTATCTACAGAGCATGATTAAACGGTTATTTGAGTCCCACTTAACCATGTGCAGCATCATGCTTTTCACTGTTATCATTTTCTATGAGAGCATTATTTTAACGTTAAACAGCATCCAACTTCAGGAATGATGTCGTTATACATTACCCTTGTAATGTATGACACCCCAAACACATCGAAAACACTCATCGCCATGCAGTATAAGACCAGAAGTCGATTACAAATAATTTGCGGTTAAGTATTTTCCACACAATCGGTGACACTAGGCATAAACAGCAGCAGATTTGTGTATGTGCGTTTTAAGTGATGAACCAAACAGAACTAACATTACTCATTATTCCGAATAATCGTTGTGAGAGATAGGTTTAATAATATGGTACGAAGTCCTGTTTATCGTTGGTCTGACTGCTCATTACAATCGTTAATATAGCTCAAAAACGAATAATATATAGTATGACAAAGATACAAGCGTTAGGTAGAAAAGTAGTAATCGATAAGTGCATAATCGTAGAGATACAAGGACATCAAAATGAGACATGTATTTATGCTAAGGATCACGATCTCTTATGAAGACGGCTGTTGCGAAGGTGAAAATAACTCAACAGTCACATGCTGTCTGAGTCATTAGGGTCGGTTTAAAGTTAGGTTGAATATGAGTGCTTATTGGTAGTAAACACTACAGTGATTTGTCTTCGTCCAATTCTTCCGTTTATTAGCTTTGTTCGTGAGCACGGTTTAACTCATGAGAACTGTCTATTTCTTGGAGAGATCTTTGGGACTGCCATTCTTTTCAAGCAGTTTTACTTTCAAAATAAAATTTCATCCATCCTGTCCGATACGCAGAACAATTATAGGACAGTATTTTCATTTGACACTTCCCGTCGCAAAAGACTGAAAAGTTCCGTATCAGAGCGGAATGCAAACTGAAAGAGGCAAAACGATTTATATTTATTGCAAAGGCTAGTACCACAAAGTTTGCACGAATTTGACACCTGCGGCTTTCAACCGGTTTAATAAAATCGGAATCCTACAATGTGTTTGACATAACTGTAGTCGCTACTCCAACGAAATTTGTCGAATAGGCACAGGTCGTAAGCAAGAACCTACATAACGACATAAGAGGAAATCCTGCCACCCTTAAATGTGGTCGAGATACTGAAGACTGATCACAGTGACAAGTCAGTTATTTTTCATAAGGTCAAAGAGAGTGAAAGCTCTGAACCGGAAACTCATTTTGAGCATGATATTGGGTTGATAAAAGAACTACTAAATCAACCTATGCTTCAAAATATATCCGGAGTCACCTAGCTAAATGTGTATAGATTAGGTGGTCAAGTAAACTTAAAACCAAATCATACCAGGCTGCTTAAAGTAGTAATCAAATCTCCTAATGAACGGAAATTATTTTTAGAGAATGGACAAATTAAAGGGTTCAGGAGTTTTCGTCTGTAAGGTCTTGCTTCTGGCAGACCGTGTAAAAAGACGGGAAGCCGAAAAAGAACTACAACTTAGGTTAGACGCTGGCGAAAAGGATATAAAAGCTGTAAATTTTCGGGTTGCAAGTCTTCGACAGAAAATGATGCCGAAGCCACTCTGGGTGAAGCACGAAGCCAATTAAATAGACTTCGGATCTGTTGCACCATATCAGAAGCTTGCTCAATAAGCGATCGGAACTGGGTGTACAGATTGACTCTACAAAGTCAGACATAATCGCAGCAACAGAAACTTGGCAGACGCATCCTATAGATAGAATGGAACTTGATTTTGATGGTTTTGCGTTAGTAGAAATAGACAGAATCCGGAAGCGTATAGGAGGGGCAGTAGCTCTATTAATTAGGAATGATTTCCCATTTGCTATTATCGACAGTGTAGCCTGTAACAGCTTAGGTTGATTGGTTAAGAGTTGACCTCATCCAACTAAGCATATATCAAAACAGTATAGTTTAAGTATTCATTCCATCCCTTATTTTGAATAGGCGTTATATTTCCTATTATCTTATGTTGAATGTTGAGAGTCTTTGTATTGTTAATCGCGAGTTGGCTACTCTAAATTCTACCGATTGACAAGCTTCAGATATCCGAGTTCGACCCCAATACTGTGCCCAATCTCCAACATATCAGAACACGAACCGTAGATGAAAAATCGTTTATGGGGTCAGGAGCAGCAGAATAAGGATTTACAAACAAATGCATATTTATACAGTTAGGGTCACTATAAATATTGACCAACAGAAAGATGACACGTTAAATAATATTGACCGTAGGAAAATGACACGCGAAATAAATATTGATCAGTAGGGAAACGACCAATAGGGAAATGACAGAACCAGAAGGATGTTCTACTTGAGTAGATGACTTAGTCGTCTCTGTTGGAGGTATTGGCGGAAGTTGAAACGTGTCCAACAGCAAGTCGAGTGGGACGTTTTTGTAATTGCTTCTTTCTCCTTCGCTTCCCTTGACCTGAGTTGATTGTGGTGCCTGGTCCAGATTTCTTGGTTCACCTTGACATCATACATGACGTTCCCATGTTTTTTGTGATTTCACCCTCTACCCATCTATCGCATCCGTGTCTATAATCTCGCGCATACACTTTTGTACCAACTTCGTAGGGAATTCGAGTATTCTTCATCTGGGGGCTTTGCTGGGCCACTTGCTTGGGTTTCATCGCACATGAACTGTCCGTAGCTTTCGCCCCATAAGCATCTCAGCAGGGGATTTGGAGTTTGGCAATAAGTCATGCGGGGTCGTCCGGTACGCAACTAGGAATCGTTCTATGATATCTTCTGTGGTCCCCTCCCCTCGTGCTTTAAGCATGGCTCGTTTAAATGTATCAACGAACCTTTCAGCTTGTCCATTAGATTGCGGGTGATATGGCGGAGAGCGAACATGGTTGATCGAATTTTGCAGGCAAAATTCTCGGAATTGGCTAGATGTGAATTGTGAACTATTGTTTCTGGAAGACCATGCTGAGCGAAGATCTGATTAAGGAGTTTGATGGTTCGAGTTGTAGAGGGTGGCGCAATCGGCAATATCTCCGGCCATTTGGAGTAGGAGTCAACCAGTATCAGGTATGTGGTACCATCTAGGGGTCCGGTGAAGTCAATATGCACTCGCGACCAGGGTTTTTCTGACTTTGGCCAGGGTACTGGAGGCAACTTAGGAGGATTTTTCGCAGCTTTTTGACAATGTGAACATCTTTTGACGAAGTCGACAATCTGCTTGTCCATATTCGGCCAATATGCATGGCTGCGAGCGATGGATTTCATACGGTTTATCCCTGGGTGTCCAGAGTGGAATTGGCGTAGGACTTTGGAACGTAGGGTTGTTGGAATTACTACGCGATCACCGAACATCAGACAATCGTTAACAATACAGAGAGCGCTGCGACGATTCGCTAGTTGTTGCATATCACCACTCAGCTGCTTAACTGGCCATCTGCTCTGAACATAGGTGATCGCTTCTTGGATAATCGGGTCTTCTCTGGTAGCTTCCCGAACATCTTCAGCGGTAACAGGCATTGCTCGAACGGCATTCGCTAATAGTGTAGCACCGGAATCCTCTTCGGTTGATACTATGGCTATGAGTGTGTCCTCATCAGTGGTAGAATGGTTACTGATAAGTCTGGACAGTGCATCTGCTTGACCAAAATCTTCGGAACGTCGATACTGGATGTCGAAGTCGTACCCCAATAACGCCAACGCCCAACGTTGAAGACGATTAGCAGAATGGGCAGGAATGCCTTTCTTCGATCTGTGAGCAAGGTGAAACGGCGCCCGTAAATGAATTTGTGGAATCGCCGGACAGCAAAAATTAGGGCTAACGCTTCCTTCTCTATCTGGCCGTAGCGTTTCTCAGCAGGTGTTAGTGTTCTCGAAGCGTGCATCACCGCTTTCTCTGACCCGTCGGGAAAGACATGTGAGAGTACGGCACCCAGTCCATGTTGAAGCGTCAGCAGCAACCACAATGGGTAGTTTCGGATTGTAGTGGGTTAGCAGAAGATTGGAACTTAGCATGGCTTTAAGTTTTGAAAAGGCTGACTCACATTGCGTTGACCAATTCCAAGTAGCATTCTTTTCTAACAGACGATTTAATGGATATCGTACGTCATGCAGTGATGGAAGAAATGCTGAATAGTAGCTAATCATTCCCAAAAATGATCGCAGTGAGGAGACATCAGTGGGAGCAGGCATTTGTTGGATTGCGTAAGTATTTTGAGGATCAGGGTGTCGTCCGGAAGCATCAAAGATAAACCCCAGGTACTTAACGAAACGTAAGAAGAATTGGCATTTTTCTGGGCGCAGGCGAAAACCATTATCCTGGAGGCGTTGCAGAACTAAGTGGGTTCTGGTATGCAATTCATCAGCAGTTGAGCCGACAATGAGCACATCGTCAAGGTATGTAGCAACACCAGGAACATCTGCCAGAATAGTGTCCATGATCTGCTGGAAGATCGCTGGAGCAGTTTTGATACCAAAGGGTAACCGGGTATACTGAAAAAGTCCTCGGTGAGTGTTGATTGTCAACAACTCTCTGGATTCGAGAGCGACTGGAAT